ACTTGTCAGCATTTTTGTGCAAATTTATCCAGTTATATACACTTTTCTATGCAATTCTGCCTAATATACAAATTTTTGCAAAGCAATTCCCTGTATTATAATGCATTTTTTCTATGCTACTTTCACTAATGTATGGACATTTCACCATAGTTTATGCATTTTGTACTCTTTGCTTTGCTGGAGAACTGGATTGCAAAACTCGAATAAGTGCAAATCTCTGAAGACAGTCCACATATTGTTTCAGAAAATGTGAATTTGGCAAGTTCCCTTTAAATGCAAACTGAATCAAATTTCTCACCATCCACACTTGTCATACAAAGAGATGCGCAGGCAAAGGGATCATTTCCAAAACACACTACAAGAAAGAACAGAAAGGCAAGGTTCTTCTCATTACTTTGACCCCCTAACACAGTCCTTGACCAACCTCAAAGCCTTTTGTCCATCTTTAAGGCTGTCCTGACCTTTGGCATCTGTGCTCCATTGAGATGATCAAAGGGTCAGATTCACGGGTTCGTAAAATTGCAGAACGTGACAGGCGGAGTTTGCAAACAGCTGGTCAAGCTTATGGAGCTGTTATTGCAAAGGGGTGGGATGAGGGGGCCTGGCTTTCAAAGCTCGCAGAGAAATGTGCTCTCAGTTTACCCTGATCAAGAACAAAGAACAAAGAAAAGCAGAAGATACAGGCAAACAGAAAGGGTACCAATGCCTCTCAGGAAAGAAGGAAGAAGAAGAAGAAGAAAGGATTCTCTCTCTAGATACATTGGTTCTTCTATCACACACATCTATTGACTGCGGAATAAAAACAGAAAGCTCCGGAAAAGCGTCACAGCCTTGCAGATGCTGAAGACTATTGCTTTATAGCTCAGTTGGTTAGAGCATGGTGCTGATAACACCAAGGTTGCAGGTTCGATCGCCATACAGGACAGCTGCATATTCCTTAACTGAAGGGAATTGGACTAGATGATTCTCAGGGGTCCCTTCCAACTCTATGTTTCTATGATCATGGCCAGAATCCTATGTCATGCAGGCAACTTGTTTATCATTCAAGAAGTATCCGGCTTCTTATTGGGGTCCTCTGCGGAGCAAGCAGATTTATTTATCTATGTATTCATTCATAAAAGTGTTTCCGGCCGGGTTGAAAACATGCCCGGGGATTCCCTGGATCTCGCGGGGGCAAAAGGCCAGCCCCCGCGTGTGTGGGAGGGGGTAACCCGCAACCTCCTCTCCTCCCGAGCTCGGAAATGGCTTTCTGTTACCTCCATATCATGAAATAGCATGGGCGTTAACCATGTCGAGAGGGACGCGGGTGGCGCTGTAGGTTAAACCACAGAGCCTAGGACTTGCCAATCAGAAGGTCAGTGGTTTGAATCCCCGCGATGGGGTGAGCTCCCATTGCTCGGTCCCTGCTCCTGCCAACCTAGCAGTTCAAAAGCACGTCAAGTGCAAGTAGATAAATAGATACCGCTCCAGCGGGAAGGTAAACGGCGTTTCCGTGCACTGCTCTGGTTTGCCAGAAGCGGCTTAGTCATGCTGGCCACATGACCTGGAAGCTGTACGCCGGCTCCCTTGGCCAATAAAGCGAGATGAGTGCCACAACCCCAGAGTCGGCCACGACTGGACCTAATGGTCAGGGGTCCCTTTACCTTTACTTTACTTAACCATGTCGAAACGTAAACCGCCATTTTAAAAAGGCAAATAAAACTCGGGTAACAACATTATTGCAACAGGAAGATCCCATTGCCCTGGACTCCGTGTCAGCAATGGGGAATTGCCATTCATAGGTCTGGTTCAAACATACATGTAATGTGATCAACACACACATACCCCACAGCAATGCCTCTGGAACAATGATAGGTCAACAGACAACATCATTCCAAGCAAGACAGTGTGGGGGAGGTTGTGGGGTCTGCTGGGCTCCCGCTGCTTTTTCCGAACCTCTACCCCCAATTTCTATAATCTCCCCCCCCTCAATATTCCTGGATTTCTCTCCCTTGACTCCCCTGCACCCTTCTCCCACCATGCCCCGCCAGCTCCAAATCTGAATTTAGTGGCCAAAGTAAATCTTCATCTTGATCTCTAGTATTCATATAAAACAACTGAACAGTCACAGATAATGGAAAAAGATTCACATTGGCCATTGTGTAACCTCACTCTGCATCCAGAGAAGTGAAGAGATATGTCTTAGTTTGGATCGTACAGTGGGAATGGGGGCATGGAAATGGGTGGTGAAACAGGCTCCCTGTGCGAGAAGAAGGTCTGCACAGCCACAACTTTAAATCACCAGCTTCCATAAGCAAACACTGATCTCTGCAAGCCATACGAGGTCAAGGATGAGAACGCGCCTTGCTCAGCCAACTGCATGATGCTATGTGGTATCAGGTTAGCTGTTCTTATGATTTATTCAAATAGTCATCACAGTCTATTTTTGCATGGGAGTGATGATATCCGCTGATAACAATTAATCACATATACGTGTAGATTAGTTAGGAGCCAGAGCATTGCTAAAATGGTGCCGGAAGCCTGCAGTCAAAGAATTGGCTGGTGGGTTCCATTCAATATGTAAAATGCAAGCCCAGCCACCGCTCTTCAGTTCTAGAGTTGCTGTAGTTACAGTAGAGGTAAAGCAAACAGTTTCCAGATGGAAAAACAAAGCCTTCTCTCCCACCTTCTATATTGTCCCAAAGGCTGTAAGCAACAACGGCACTGCCCTCCTCTTAAGCATCTGCCTCTGCCACCATGTTGAATACCTTCCCATCACCTCTAGAGTTGTCGCTTTTAACAGCAGCCTGATGGAGGCGATGCTTTTCCTGGAATGGAGGTAATATTTATTGATTTGTGCAATTTATATCCTGCCCTTTTGCCCAAAGGAGCCCAGGGCAGAAGACATGGCAGTGATAAAACATTAAAAAGAATCTACAAAAATGTTAAAACATTATTTTAAAAAGCTTACCCCCACCAGGGATCTCTGGGTTGCTGGGAACAATGTTTTTTTAGCCATCAAATACCCGCGTAAACAGGAATGTTTCTCCTGAAAGTCTATAACAGGGGAGACAGCTGCAGCTCAGTAGGGAAGGCACTGTACAAGCAGGGAACCACCACGGAAAAGGGCACAATGCCAACTGGGCAAGGCCTCACCTGCCGATTGTAGGGTACAAGATGGGAAAGGAGCTCTTTTAGGTACAAAGTGGGGAAGCAGGCATCTGCTTAGTCCATCTCTGAAGTTGTCCAGAAGGAGACAGAGCCAAGAATCTAAGCAAGGGGTCAGAGGCAAGGAACACATCAGAGCCATGAAGGCTTTTGTTGCTCAGGCAAGGTCTTAGTCCAAACAGGAAGTCCTTTAAAGCTCTTCCTGTCCAGGAAGGCCCAGTGGCCACCTTAGGTGGACAGGGCCAGCCCAGACACTGACAGTACTTCACTGCCTGGAAAGATGCTCCAATTGGCTCCAAAGTTCTCGGTTTTAGCCCTGGCAGCTCCTGGCAGACAACCCATTGTTCTCTCAGCCTGCTATTTCTTCACTCATTCCTCATTTCTCTTCTCCATTCCATTCCTTCAGCTCCATTTATCAACTTTGGGTGGTTTTAACCTCCACCAAACAGACAACCTTCCCTTGCCTCTACAAAATCTAGGGAGGATTATTGTCCCTGACTGGGTTCACAGTACAGGCATAGGTTTTCCTTAATCCCTTTACTTGTTGACTTGTGACACATAATTTAACAATATAAGAATCCTCTTGGATCAGGCCAAAGACCCATCTAGTCTAGCATCCTGTATCCAGTGCCAAACAGATGCCAGTGGGAAGACAGAAAGCACCAGATGAGAGCAATAGTCCTCTCCCACTGTTATTCTCAAGCAGCTAATACTTGTTTTATGTCCTTCATTTCCCTCCAATGATCTCCCCATCCACCCCATGCTGCAAAAAATAAATAAATCACAGAGCACATGCTTTTGTTATACAGATTGATTGGTTTACTCAAGCAATGGCAGGTCCTCACTTCAGTTTAATACTTTAGCTGATCAGCTTGGTTGCCTCTCATGTCTTTCCCAGCTAGACAAATCTACGGTTCTCCTGGCTAAGCTAGTGTTCTGTGTAAATCAATCACTGATGGGAAGAGGAAGCGAGGGGACCAGGAATAGAGGCAGAACTGGCTTTGCTCAACCAAGAGAACTGGCAAAGTCTCAATGCTTCTGTAAGCTCTGCCAAATGCACAGAACTTTCACCATAAGCTAACAGACGACAACTGGCAGTAACAGTATAATGAGCACCAAAATCAATTACAGGCAGCGCAAGCAGGCAGTCCGTGGCCCTAGGGCTCTCAGCCTAATTTCAAAAGCCCTCCGCAAGTGATCTGTCCAGACCTTTGGCAACAGCCATTTCCCTCTCTCAAGAGCCTACTGGGTGTGGAGAAAGGGAGAAGGAGAGAGAAGTGGGTGACGCTCCCCACCAGACTCTGCTATACACACTTATTCAGGAAACACTGAGTCCAGGAAAACCATGGACATAAAAGCCACAATCCATCTCTCCATTTAAACAAAGGACGACAAGGGACAGGGTGCCTGCAAACATTATACTCCAATATGTGCACCAACCTTTCAATATGTGCACCAACAACCAATATGTGCTTATACTCCAATATGTTTAGCAACCTTTCCAGATCATTGTTGTACATCAGGATGGCTAACCCGTAGCTCTCCAGGTGTTCCTGAATCACAACTCCATCACCCTCAGGTCAGGAATGATGGGAGCTGGAGACTGACAACATCTGGAGGGCAAGAGATTAGTCACTCCTATAGAACTAATTGCACACAGAAAACATTGTTGGCTGTAACACAGACTCAATGAAGACTGGCTAAAATGCATCACACTCTATCCCTTTTTCTTCGAATTGGGGTGTATTATTTCAGTAAGTTTCCAGAACACCAACTACAACATTGTGGGTGCCTCCTTATAGGCCCTGTAACCTCTGTCAAATGCAGGATAAAATGCCAATCAGGTTACTTACCATTCAGCGAACTCTGGAACAGATCAGCTGGAAAGGCAGATAGCTCAGGATCCAGTTCCAGAAGGTACCTATTAATATAATAAAGAATATTTTATATAAGGGATGGACAAATTCATCCATTTTGGTTTCTCTGTGTTTCTCATGTTTTCAGTCTGTAGCTTGGTAGCCCACATTTCTGCATCAGTTTGCTAAATTTTCAATTACAAGTCCCAATGAAAATGGATTATTTTTTCCAAATACTCATTGCATTTCCATCCAGTAACTCTGGTCTGAAGCTCAACATCAAAAAAATGAAGATCATGGCCACTGGTCCCATTACCTCCTGGCAAATAGAAGGGGAAGAAATGGAGGCAGTGAGAGATTTTACTTTCTTGGGCTCCATGATCACTGCAGATGGTGACAGCAGTCACGAAATTTAAAAAAGCCTGCTTCTTGGGAGAAAAGCAAAGACAAACCTAGACAGCATCTTAAAAAGCAGAGACATCACCTTGCCAACAAAGGTCTGTATAGTTAAAGCCATGGTTTTCCCAGTAGTGATGTATGGAAGTGAGAGCTGGACCATAAAGAAGGCTGATCGCCGAAGAATTGATGCTTTTGAATTCTGGTGCTGGAAGAGACTCTTGAGAGTCCCATGGACTGCAAGATTATCAAACCTCTCCATTCTGAAGGAAATCAGCCCCGAGTGCATGCTCTGGTCCATGGGGTCACAAAGAGTCGGACACGACTAAACAACAAACTGTAGAATCATAGAATTGGGGGGGGACCAAGGGTCCTCTAGTCCAACCCCCTGCAATGCAGGAATTTCCAGGTTGCCCATATGGGAATGGAACCCACGACCTTGGCATTATCAGCACCATGCTCTAACCAAATGTGTTAACTGACATTACTAAGTTAAATTCATTGTGACTATGCAAGAGTTGTGCTGCCACTGCTGCCACCCACATCCAGTTGTAGGCAAAACATTAACCGAGGCTATAAATTTGTCCCCAAGAACAAAAACATCAAATGGTAAGTTGTTGTTTAGTCATTTAGTCATGTCCGACTCTTCGTGATCCCATAGACCAGAGCACACCAGGCACTCCTGTCTTCCACTGCCTCCCGCAGTTTAGTCAAACTCATGCTGGTAGCTTCGAGAACACTGTCCAACCATCTCGTCCTCTGTCATCCCCTTCTCCTTGTGCCCTCCATCTTTCCCAACATCAGGGTCTTTTCCAGGGAGTCTTTCTTCTCATGAGGTGGCCAAAGTATTGGAGCCTCAGCTTCAGGATCTGTCCTTCCAGTGAGCACTCAGGGCTGATTTCTTTCAGAATGGATAGGTTTGATCTTCTTGCAGTCCATGGGACTCTCAAGAGTCTCCTCCAGCACCAGAATTCAAAAGCATCAATTCTTTGGTGATCAGCCTTCTTTATGGTCCAGCTCTCACTTCCATACATCACTACTGGGAAAACCATAGCTTTAACTATATGGGCCTTTGTTGGCAAGGTGATGTCTCTGCTTTTTAAGATGCTGTCTAGGTTTGTCATTGCTTTTCTCCCAAGAAGCAGGCATCTTTTAATTTCATAACTGCTGTCACCATCTGCAGTGATCATGGAGCCCGAGAAAGTAAAATCTCTCACTGCCTCCATTTCTTCCCCTTCGATTTGCCAGGAGGTGATGGGACCAGATGGTAAGTATCATTCTTAAAAGAGGCGCACCCCCCTTCTCTCCATCATAGAATTGTAGAGTTGGAAGGAACCCCAAAGACCATCTATTCCAACTCCCTGCAATGCAGGAATCTCAGCTCAAGCATCCGTGCCTCTTTCTAAGCATGCACAAGTTATTTAAAAAGAGGGGTGCAGACCTGTGGGCCACCAGATACTTCTGGACTCCTAGCAACCCTGTCCATTGGCCATGCTGGCTGGGCCTGAAGGAGTCCAGCAAATTCTGAAGGGTCACAGATTTCTCTCCCCCCCCCCCCCGCATCCTAGAAGCAATGAATGCATGCTTTGACATCTGAGCCACTCATTTTAATCCCATGCAAATGTATGCAGATATATCTGATTAATAAACTAACACTCGGATGATTAATTGACTAGATGTAATCATGTGACAGTCCTGTTATTTTGCATTTGGGTATGTATATCTTGTGCTGCAATTGCCTGTGCCCTTAAGTACACAAAAGAAGGGAAACGAATTGAGCCCCAGCTCTGGCACATTTCTAAAAGGGGAAAAACAGAACAGACATGCACCACTCATAACTCAAATTGCATTTTGGATTTGAAAAACCAAATAGAAAATGTTTTGTAGAAAGGAGCCTTCTATCTGCAAAGGGACACAAATCGATCTGCACACACTCTCCTCTGCCAGCCCCATAGCATCTCATGGTCACAAAGCACTCACAAAACCACCCCTCTTTTCCCCAGACCTGCTTCTCAGTGACCCATTGTTCATAGCAACGCTTTAAACAGCTCATATTTTGTTAATTGTACAAGCCTAATGGAGGAATGTATTGGCAAGAAGGGGTAATAGCCATCAGGCCAGCAATAAAACAAAATTAATGGTCCATGGGAAGAAATCATGTCCACTTAATATCAGCTTTGAAACTCTAATAAAATAATGTGATACCAATGGCAGCTTCTCCCTCACACATATGCACACCCCGAGCATGCAGATTGCTTACACCACGTTAAATCACTCATATAAAGCAGACCCCGTTCGGCTGAAGCCCACAAGATCCTCCCGGGAACATAGCAGACCGGAAACATTTAGCGTAAGGCTCATTACCGACATGCACAGCTGTAGCAACACCCACAAGATCCAGCCTAGAGGCAACACAGGAAAAAAACACACCAGGAATAGAGGATGAGGTCTTCATCAGTGCTCTCTAGTCCTTTAGCAAAAAAAACAACCCATTAGTATATCGCCTGGAAACCCAACTCCACAACGGGCAAGTCTGATGGGCAAGCATCTCTCACTCTCTCTATCATTAGTGATGGATGAATCTGTCCATTTCACTTTCTCTCGATTTCTCATTTTTCCAAAATTATGTTTCACACCTCTACATCAGTTTGCTAATCTTCTCTTTTTAAAAAACAAGAAACCCTCACAAATATTTGTTAGCATTTTAGTGCACATTTTCCCCAATCGACATATTTGCAATTTTGCTTTAAATAACATATTTTTGCAAGCTGTTTCCCATAAATAACGCATTATATTATTTTATTATTTTTATGCGCATTCTCCCCTATCATGGCACATTTTTGCACAAATTCTGTTGCTGCTGGAGAACTGCATTGTGAAATTCGTAGGAGGGAGAATTCCGAAGGAGAATTGCACACCTTGGGCCAAAGTGTGACCCAACTAACATGTTATACTGGGTGCAATACTTTAGCTCCAATGTTTGGTGATGTAAGAGAACTTTGCAGCAATTCTGCCTCTCCGGATTTCTAGTCAAATGTGAATGTGATGGCGGGGAGAGGGAATCATTCCACTTCCTACATGATCACATGCACATCAAATTAGCATTAAATCAGCACGGCAAAGCTTAGAAAGATCGTGTGATCACCACCCATCATGGTCATTGTGATTGCTTTCTATAGTTAGAAGCTTTGCAGAGACATGTCACAGACTGTACCTGAAGTTCATGGGCCATTTGGCCTGTTTGTTGAGAATAATGATAAACGATAGAAGCACATGCATTACTCATGTGTTTGCTTTTCATCTGCAAGCCACTCCTTTGTGGGGGTATGCATTTGTTAACATAAAACTAGCCTGCTGGATGAGGCCAGTGGCTCATCTGGTCCAGTATCCTGGTCACACAGTGGCTGATCAGATCCCCATGTGAAGCCCAAAAGCGGTACCTGGGTGCAACAGGACTCCACATGCTCAAGATATTTCTATATGCACCACCTCACAGAACACAGGAAGCTGCCTTATTTATACCTTATTAGAACATTGCCCTTTGAGCCATAATACTACAGAATTAGCAGGGGCAGCAGCAGCTTGGTATCAGCCAGGTGTCTTTCACGCCACCTGCTCCCTGGTCATTTTTCTACCTGGCTAGGCCAGGGATGGAACCTGGGAGCTTCCGCATGCAACACATGTGCTCGGCCATCTTAGGCTCTCATCACAAAAGTCCTGCTGGGTCTGAGAAACAATCCATCTGCTCCAGCATACTGTTTCCAACCGCCGTCAACCAAACACCTCTGGGAAGTCCACAAACAGAGCGGCGGGGAAAGGAAAATCCAATTTCCTGCTCAATTCCAATTCCCTGTGCTATTTGGGGCCAGAGCGCCTAGGGTTGCCATATTTCAGAAAGTGAAAATCCGAACACAAAAGTTGCTGAGCCGTTTGTGCCAGGGGCTGGACTGAGGAGGAATGGTGGGGGCCGCCACCCCCTTCTCCTGAACCTTCCCGAGAACAGGAGGACAGTATAGATTCAGAACAGTGGTTTGCAGAAGGGCATAGTTCAGAGGGCAGAAGCTGGGAAATATTGGGAGAGGAGCAGCAGGAAGAAGAAAGCACCAGGGAAGAGACAGCTGACAGACTCAGGGTCCTTGGAAAGCATTCCTGACCCCTCCTCTCCCAGGACCAGGCGGGCACTGAGGGTAGTAGAGTAGAGAGCTCAGTGGCAGAAGGCTCAGATTAGCCAACGCAGGACTGACGTAGAATAGGGGAGATGAAGGGCAGGGTGGGACTTCACTTGGAGCAACGCCATTTCTAGAGAGAGACCGCATTCCTTTATCTCCCGCTGTGATTACTGAATAAACTAATTGGTAAGAACTCTTTTTTTAAAATCTGCTTCTTTGCTGCCACTAGGGAAGGGATCTGATTCCCCAAAGCCTGACAGTTTGTGAGCTATTTTGAGCTATATATTTTTGGGGGAATCGGCAAAAACAACACTGCTGACCAGGGTCGTCTTAAGCATATCCAGCGCCATGGTGCAAAGATCCCTCCGGCGCCCCACCCCCCCCATTTCCCAGAGTTATCAACCTTTTCCCAAGCCTCTGCGGGGATCGCTCTCCTCCCACGGAGGCTTGGGAAAGAAGCTGCACGCCCGCCAGCCATATGGTTGATGGGGCACAGCTTG